CAAACCTTGTGTAAGCATAAGCTGCATCTTTCATAACTGGAATAAGCGTAGAGGATGACTTAAACCCAGTCTCAAGGTTTTTCTCCAAATGAAAAATGCAGATCCCATGATGAGCAAGTGGATAATTAACAATAAGAGCATTGGCAATTGATGATGCACGATCTGACACAAAAACTAAATCAGGTTCATCCGGGATAATTTCTTCAAACACTTCATAAACCAGTCCCACGAAGCATCATTTTCTGAATCAACTACGCCAAATGCAATAGGATACAAATGAAAGTCACCATCTTGTGTTGAGGCACCAAGCAAAGTCCCTTTAAAATTTGATTTCAAATGAGCACCGTCAATACAAATCACTTTTCTCATCAACTTAAACCCTCTAATTGACGGACCAAAAGCAAGAAATGCGTACTTAAATTTATTGTCAGGATCAACCTCAATGAAGGTTGCAGAACCAGGATTCTTCTCATTTACCATGTACATCCACATTGGCAAGAACTCATAACCATCATCAGGTGTACCCCTAGCAACATCGATTGCATGATCTTTAGCTCTCCACGCTTTTGAATAAGAAACTCCAATCCCATTGTCGTGTCTGAATTTTTCTATCAGTTGTTTAGGTTTAAGCGCAAGCTTCTCTCCACGAAAATGATTACTTACCATTTCTCCTAATGTCCTAGAAGTTGCTTGGCGATGATTAACCTTCCTTAGCAAAGAATCACAACAGTGCTCACTAACATACTTTTTAATAATAAAACTATCTGATGCCTTAACCCTAGTTGCACGTAACCTCCAACTACATTTTTCATCAATGCAACGAAGAGTATACCATGTTGAGTCTGATTTCTTAGTCCGGAACTCGAAGTTATTCTGCATTGCAAATAATTGCATCTGCCTTCCCATTTCCTTTTTGTCCTTGAACAACTTTCCACAATACAAAGTATTTGAAGATGCAGAAATAGTAGAACCACCTACAGGAGCTGAACCTTCAGATATATTAGAGAAGGATTCCGTTTCAGTTCTAACCCTCTCCGGGATGGTTGAGTCAAATCTCATCTGCAAAAGCAAAAAAAAATCTTTAAGTTTTAAAATTTGAATTGTTTTACAAGGTATTTTAAAAGGATTTACAAGTTATTTTAAAAGGTGTACTAAAAAGGGTTTTTAAAAGGGTTTTACAAGGTATTTTAAAAAGATTTTTTACTGATTTTCAAAGAATTTGTAAGGGAATTGAAAATACCTCATTCATGACATGACATGCAGGAGCTGTAACAAAAGTTATAGGAGCAGAGTTTGCAGAATACATTTGTACCTGTAATATAATTTTTGCAAATTTACAAGTTATTTTGAATCTTTGTTAACTTATTTACAAGCTATTTTAATGATTTGTTTACTAATTTACAAGGTTTCTTTACTGTTTTACCTCATTCATGACTTGATATGTAGAATAAGGATCTGTATTGCTCTCACTACTAATTGAGATGTTGCTTGTCCCCATCATTGGATTAGTGCTTCTTTTCCCCTGTAAAGATTATTAAAACTGTTTACAAATTTGTTAAACCAGTTTACAAAATTGAATGTTGGTAAAATACCTTCTCAACAGTTACACATAGCTGAATACCGCCTCTGAATTCCGCAAGCTTTTTCATAAATGCTTGCACTTGCCTATCATTTCTAATATACATAGGAGGCATGTCTTTTGTAGAGGGTAATGAATAACTGAGTTTTAATATATTAATACCGACATCAATTCCAAAATCTTCTATAACAACAACACACAAATCAGTGAAACACGTATCCTCATTGATAAAAGTAAGAGACCCTCCTCTTTCAACATCAAATTTAAAATCCCAACAATTGTTATTTTTCAATTTCCAAACACCAGATATGCAATTCAACTCAATCATTACGACCTGATAAAAAAGACAATGTATTATAATGTTAAACATATGTATCTTTATGATAGTTCACAAGGTATTTTTAAAGTTCTTCATGGTTTTACAATATTTTTTAAAGGTTTACAATCTTCACAAAAAACATGGTAAATCAAAATTATTTCACTAATAGTGTCTGAAGAACATAAATACAGTGAGAAGATGAAGAAGAAATTTTTACAATGGTTTTAGAAAGTTTTTAAAGGTAACACGAATTATAATTTTCAAGCAAGACAAATTCGAGAAATAGATAAACACATAATCGAAGCTCTTAATTAATCAATTCAGATTTGAAGACGAATTCGATGAACTTTTGGATCTAAACGGTTCAGATTTCAGAAGCGATTCGAACCTAATTGATGCAGATTGGGATGAGTCACAAATTTTTGATTACAGACTCGATTGATCCTCGTCGATTGAACTCGATTGAACTCGACGGATCTAAGATGAAGATATCGACGGATCTAAGATCTCATCACCTTTTGTTCGTCGGCTGTGAAGGTGACGAGAGCCGCTCAGCCGCCGAGATTTTTGGTTCGTCGTTCCCCAATTTTGTCTTGGTCAATTTGGTTCCTCAATTGGTCAATTTGGTTCCTCATTAAGGGTAAAATGGTCAATTTCAGAGAAGCTATTAGAGAGGAGGTATTTTTGAAAAGGGATATTGAAAAATGGGCATTTTTGTGAGTCCCCCAAATTTTAAACAAAAAAATAAAATTGAAAAGAAAACATTAGTTTTTAAGAACAATATAGTGCATATTTTTATTTATTAATAATTTTACTTTAAAAATAAAAAATTATTAAATATAACTAAATTTATAATTTAAGACGAAGATATTGTAAGAGTCAAAATTTATCTTGTGAAATTATAAGAAAATCTTAAAAATTTAAAACATTATCATCCATCTTTATAAGAATAAATAATCAATGATCACATTTTTCATGAGTTCTACAACCAAATATATAAAAAATGATATGTAAGCCGTTAAAAAAGTGGTATGTAATTTGTGTAGCATATTCTTAAGTGAAACTACAACTTTATAACATGATCAAAAAGAAAAACAAGTTTGATATTTCATTAATTGAATCAAATGCTTTCAACCCAAAAGATTGAGTATTGAAAGATAAGAATTAAGGAGAAAATAGTTATGATATGTCTTAAAAATCAAATCACAGTCCTATATATATATATATATATTTTTGTGTGAGTTAATAAAAGGTAAAAGAAAGGAGATGTCGAGAGGCAACCAGTTTATCATAGAAGATGACGAAAAATTGGTAGTTAAAAGTGTGTGAAAATAAATTTCTAAAACTTAGAAAGATAATGCACATGACTAAGGTAAAATCTTTGAGATCTCATTCACTGTGTGAAACGAATGAGTTCTTAGAAAAATACATGAAATACATTATTAGACAGATAATTAGATTCAAAGTTAGACTTTACCGTTTGGTCATGTAATCATGGAGAGTGAGTAAGATAGACCTTTTGATGACTTAGACAAAAATTATCTTATGGCTCAATGCACTTGCTTTAATGGGTAAGACAAGTTCGCTAAAAATGTTTTAGGAACATGGTATTATAGATGTATTTTTGGACTAAATAATGTTCATGAAACTCGGTATATTCGCATTTTATTTGGAATGATGTTATGTTCGAACAATATTTAATCTAAAATAATATCTACAATTAGGTCAACAATCAATAATTAACATCAAAAGTTTTAAAGAAATGTCTTCATGGATTATGATTAAGAAAGAAACTTTTTAAAGATAAGATAAAGGATCATTAGATGATCCTCGATGTCGTTTATTCATCTCGCAAATTTTTTAAATGATCTTTGTTACCACATGATATATATCAAACCATTTATTTGTCAAGGAAACATTATCGTCGACAAAATATATGTTGTATATCGTTTATTATATTTATGCTCAAATATTTATCTTTTAAATTTTAATGATTATATTTTATATTAAAAAAAGAAATTTGAAACCAAAATCCCGCGCAACGCGCGGGTACAAAATCTAGTATTTATAAGGGTTTTAAATGGTTTTAAAAGTATTTACAAAAAATTTAAATGAATTATAAGGGTTTATAAGAATTTGAATTTTGAGCGGTAACGTACATTCTGTTAACATATATTTTTTATATTTTATATTGAATATTGTATATATTTTTTTAATTATATAATATTATAAATGATTCAATAACATAATTTTCTAAAAAAATTTTAAATAAATTTACAAAAAATTTTTACAAAAATTTAAATAAATCCTAATAACATAATATTATAAATAAAGTTTTAATTATAAAATTTTATATAATATTGTAAATAAATTTTTAAATAATTTTACAAAAAAGTTTTAAAACTAAATTTTTTTTTTTTTTTGAATATTTATGTTGGTCAACGCCGGTCAAACTGGTCAATGCCGGATTCCGGCGAAAAGTGTACCGGAAAAAAATGTTCGTGATGTTGGCGACATGACTGCATATAGTTCGTACATGTGGGCATGCAATACATATAGTTTGTGTAGTTAGGGATACATTTTTAAACTTCGGATGTGTGGCCATGTATTGTAGCATACTTCGTATAGCTAGGAATCTTTTTTCCTTTTTTTATCTTATATATTGTTTTAAAAAATACAATTTAACTATCTATTTTATCATAATAAATCATATTTTAATTCTACGCACTCTTGATAAGATCTAAAATATTTATATATATCAAAACTAATATGTGCATCATATCAAATATATCCATATATATGTATATATATATATATATATATATATATATGTATAATATTATACGAATTAAAGATATAAATGTAATTGTTTTTATTGATGATATTTTCAAAAGGGTTAAAAATTACATATAATTTCCTTATAAATATCTTTTTACATTTTACAAACTGTTAAGAACAAAATATTTGTGTTTCACATTGTAAAATCTCTAAACGATAAATTTGACATTTGTCACGATCATATGAGTCATAGATGGATCTATTGAGATTGAAATTCCGTCGGAACTGCTCATTGACGCGCAGCCCTTGTGGTCCAAGTTCATTATGGGTCATTTCATTGGCGATGCACCCCATATTGGGAAAGTCCATGCTACAGTTAATCGTATTTGGGCTTCTCCGGAGAAGTCCTCCATGATTGATGCTCAGTTCCTAAGCTCCAAAACAGTCCTCTTTCGAATCGATGATGACCAAGTGCGCCAGAGAGTACTGCGTAGACATTTCTGGCATATTGCAGACATCCCCTTAGTGGTTCGTGAGTGGAATCCTTCTACTGCAAACACTAAACCGGATCTCTCTGCCATCCCAATATGGGTGGACCTAAAATGTGTTCCTGACTATTTGTTCAATGAGAAGGGTCTGAAGTTTCTCGGTGATCAAATAGGTTTAATGCAGAGACTCCATCCTAATACTGCCCGCTGTGTTCGTCTTGATGTGGCAAGGCTATTGGTTGTAGTAAACCTGGAGAAGGCGCTTCCTGATAGGCTCAATCTTAAATCATCAGGCACAACCATTGAAATCTCCTACCCCTGGCTGCCATCTCGCTGCTCTGAGTGTCAGGAATGGGGGCATGAGGTGAAGAATTGTGTGAAAATGAAAAAAGGCGCAGTTGTGGAGTCTCCAGCTGTAGTGATGGTGTTGAAAAAGTCGAGTAAACCTGCTGTGGAATCTACTTCAGCAGTTCACCAGACTTCTCAACAATCCCCGGTTACTGCTAATGGGGTTGAAGAGGAGTCAACATGGTCTTTGGTAAAGAATGGTGGTCGCGTTTCACCGAGAAAAGTAGGAGCTGGTTCATCTCCAGTGTCAGCAACGCAGGGAGTGGACGCAGCTACCTCACCTTCTCGATTTCAGATTCTTGCAGAGACCCTGGAGGAGGGTGAATGTGAGCCTGTTGAGCAGGAGGAGGAGGAAGAGAGGAAAACAGAGGAGCTGAAAGACATTGACTCTCATGAGCCTTTGGTTGTATCTACCCGCAAGGCAAAATTACACCGTGGGCGATCAAAATCAAGGCCTAAGACTATAGCTGCTCGGACAGATCAGAAAACTAGTGCCAACACAAACCAAACAAAGAAAGCTTCCCTCGGGAAGCACTAATGATTATGTCGTCTATCTTTGCGTGGAATACAAGGGGTTTCAACAATATGCGCAAACATAATGTAGTTCGACAATGGTGTATGTCAAAGAAGCCGTTCTTTGGATGTCTTCTTGAAACAAGAGTTAAGAAGGACAATTTTGAGAGTATTTTTGAGTTTGCGCTACCAGGCTGGCGAGCGGAAACCAATTATGACTATCATAGGCTGGGAAGGATATGGGTCTGTTGGCGGGATGATATAACAGTCCATATTCTTTACAAAAGTTCACAAATCATCACTTGCTGGGTTACCTCAGAGAGTGGAGAGCAGTTTGTGGTTTCTTGTATATATGCATCAAATTTTCAAGCCGATAGAATGTTACTATGGGAGGATATTCGGCAGTGTGATCATCTATTTGTCCAAGGTCGTGTTCCATGGATCGTAATGGGTGATTTTAATGAAACTTTGGCTTCATCGGAGCATTCCCGTGGTACAGTTTTGACCCATGTCCCTGCTAACCGTGGTTTTCAAACACTTATATCGGACTGCGAGCTGGAGGATCTATCTTATGTAGGACCGCGCTTCACTTGGTGGAACAATCAAGAAGATAATCCCATTGGAAAGAAACTGGATCGTGCACTAGTGAATGGTATGTGGGGGCAAGTGTTTTCCTCATCTTATGCCAGTTTTGAAACGTGTGGTGTCTCAGATCATTGTCGCTGCAGTGTCAATCTCTCCGACAACACACAATCAGTTAGACGACCATTCAAGTATTTCACATACCTTGGAGACTTGCCGCAGTTTGGTAGTACAGTCCAACAAGAGTGGGATTCCCTAGACCCAATCTATCACTCCCGATCAGCCTTATTCATTTTTCACCGGAAATTAAAGATGTTGAAAGGCCCTCTTCGAGCTTTAAATCGTGAAAAATATGGTGACCTCCCTAGAAGGACAAGAGAGGCTTTTGATGCATTGTGTGCCTGCCAAAACCGAGCACTAACCTCTCCTAGCGCTGAAGCTTTTGCGGATGTATCTGAGGCAACTCAAATTTGGAATCATCTTTCTAGTGTTGAAGAACGATTCTATCGTCAGAAGTCTCGGCTTAATAGGTTGAAGTATGGTGATCATAACACTGCGTTTTTCCACCGTATGACACAAACACATGCTTCCAAGAACGCAATCAGACGACTCAAAGCGCAAACAGGGGACATCATCACTGAGATCTCTGAGATCAAGAGTGAAGCAGCCTCGCATTTTCAGCAGTTTCTCCAAACTAGACCAGACAACTTTGAAGAGGTTCATGATGATTTCTTGGCTGATTTACTGAGTTTTCGTTGTAGTGAAACCACTGCTGCTTCTCTGGTCCGTGAAATAAAAGCAGAGGAAATAAAATCAGTCCTGTTTTCAATGCCTTCTAGTAAAGCTCCAGGACCCGACGGTTATCCGGTGGAGTTCTATAAATCTGCCTGGTCAATTATTGGTTCAGACTTCATAAAAGCGGTGCAGTCATTTTTTATCTATGGTTTCATGCCGCGCGGAGTAAATGCAACCATTCTCTCGTTGATCCCAAAGACCACAGAGCCTGAATCAATAAAAGACTACCGGCCTATAGCTTGTTGCAACATGTTATACAAAGTGGTCTCCAAAATACTTGCAAATCGCTTAAAAGAGCTACTACCATCCCTCATTGAGCCAAATCAAACAGCGTTTATCAAGGATAGGCTATTACTGGAGAACGTCCTGCTTGCATCGGAACTTGTTAAAGATTATCATAAAGTCACAATTACTCCTCGTAGTGTCATCAAGCTAGACATCTCCAAAGCTTTTGATACGGTTGAATGGTCCTTTATTTCGGCAATCTTAAGAACATGGGGCTTACCGGATCAGTTTGTGCGTTGGGTTAGTGTTTGCCTCTCCACAGCGTCTTTCTCAATGGCTGTGAATGGTGAGCTTGCGGGTTTTTTTCCAAGTGCCCGAGGGCTTCGCCAAGGCTGTTCTCTCTCTCCGTATCTCTATGTAATCGTGAACAATGTCCTCTCGCTCCTTTTAAATCGAGCAGCGCAACAATCACGTTTTGGATACCATCCTCGGTGTAAGGATATGGGTCTCACCCATCTAAGTTTCGCTGATGATATTCTTGTTTTTACTGATGGTTCAGCCTCTTCTTTGCAAGGTATTATGAATGTTCTTGAAGGCTTTGGCAAGATATCGGGACTGTTCATGAATGCATCAAAGTCGTCAATTTTCACTGCCGGTCGTAACACATACGGTATTCAGGAAGAAGCGGAACGTTTGGGTATCCCTAAGGAATCATTACCCATTCGCTATCTTGGTCTTCCTTTAACAACTAAGACGATGACCCGTCAAGACTATGAGCCTCTCGTGGATAGAATCAGGTCACGTTTTCTGCTTTGGTCAAGCAAGCGGTTGTCTTTTGCGGGAAGGCTACAACTTATTCAATCAGTCATTACGAGTATAATCAACTTCTGGTGCTCCATATTCCGACTACCCAAGGGCTGTTTCGATGTCATTGGAAGCATGTGTAACGCATTCTTATGGTCCGGTTCTCCTACTGATCATTCAAAGACGAAAGTAGCATGGGATGACGTGTGTAAACCGAAGGATGAAGGCGGGCTGGGTATAAGGCGGCTACGTGACTCTTCAAGGGTTTTTGCTCTCAGCCTCATTTGGAGACTGTTCACGGCCTCGGGCTCATTGTGGGTAGCATGGTCTAGACGTTATCTCTTCCCTAATGCATCCTTTTGGAGTATACGTGAAGGGACCCTAGGATCGTGGATATGGAGAAAACTACTTAAGCTAAGACCACTAGCAGCATCTCTCATGTGTGTGGAGGTAAAGAATGGGAACTCCACTATGTTTTGGTGGGACAATTGGACTGGTGCAGGTCGCCTCATTGACATAGCGGGTGACGTCGGACCACAACATTTTGGCCTTTCCCGTCATGCCACTGTCTCGGAGGCTTGTTTTAATAATCGATGGACTTTAAGACGCGCCCGGGGACAACTCTACAATACAGTTATTGGTCTCCTCAGCCCTATCACTCCCCCTACGCCTCTTGCGGGTAACGACATTGTTAAATGGATGAACAAAACAGGGGAGTACCACTCTTCCTTCTCATCAAAGTGTACTTGGAATCTTATTAGGGACATCTCCTCTAAGGTCTCCTGGTCTACATTGGTTTGGTTTCCTCAAGGTGTTCCAAGGTACTTTTTCATTACGTGGCTTGCTGTCAAGGATAGACTATCAACAGGCCAACGGATGCGGCGTTGGGGTCAAATCCAATCATGTCCGCTATGTGGTGAGCGAGATGAGACGAGGGATCATATTTTCTTCGCTTGTCCTTATGTTTATGCAATCTGGTCTAGTCTATGCACTCCTCTCCTGCGGCGTCATACAACACCGGATTGGCAAGACACAATTCGTGCGATACTAGCTAAAAAATCTCCATCCATTGATGTCATCCTTGTCCGTATGGTTTTCCAAGCAACAATTTATTTTGTGTGGAGGGAACGCAATGGTCGAATCCACAATTCTAGCCACCAGCACTACCGCAACCTGACGAAGATGATCGCCTCAGACATTGCGCTCCGCATCCAAAGCCTTACCTACGGGCCGCAGCACAAGAACGCATCGCTCTCCGGCCGATGGTCCTCACTCACCGGCTCCATCACGTGAATTGTGTTCTTAGCATCTGATTTTTGTTTTTAAATACTATGTAAGGTTTGATATGGTTCCCTAAACATGTTCCAAATCAAACCCAGTCATCCGAAACTCTTTGTACATATTTTTCTTTTTGTTGATTAATAAATTTAACATTTCAACAAAAAAAAAAAAAAAAACCAAGTTTTTTATAATAAGATAGATATATATATATATATATATATATATATATTTATTAATTTTTACTTTTACTCATATTATAACTTGAGAAGATATTTTTATATCTATGTATAAATTTTCTTGTTTTCAATTGATAAGATAACTTTTTTTATTCTTAGATAAATTGGTAAACATTTTTAATCTGTCTTCCAATCATACACTTTTTGCAAATTAACCGGATTACTAATATGTTGGTCACCTTTATTTAAATAGATTCCATCTTCTCTTGCTCTCCAGTCCCATAGGCTTCCATGATCCATAAAACCGGAAAGCTTGAATGCTGTAAATTCCTGATAATGTTTATAGTTAGGCCCTTGTCTCAATGTACACATAAAACGCGTTGTAGCCCAGAAATTAATACGAAAAGAAATTTCAACATGTTGTCCGATTGGTATTTCTTGTGGACCAAATTTGTCATCTTTGGAATAACATCTAATCCAGAGAATTTTCTTGAATTTGAGTTCGTTCGCGATCCATATTCCAGAGCCAGATACATGGTCAAGCATGCAAAGACTAAAAACGAATAGAAAGACTGAAAAGTTTTTCATTTTTTTGGGGTAGATATTTAGATTTTTTGCTTTGTTATTGGATTTTGTGTTTCATATATTATATACACACACATATGTGTTACTATTGTTGGCATAGTATGTCAAATGACATAATATCTTATCATAATCATATTTGGTATACATAAATCTATTAAAATTGAATTTTGAAGAAAAATGGTAAAATCAAGTAACCAATTGTAGATAATACTAGGAAATTATATGGAAGATCAAATGATAAATCAAGTAACAAATTGTGAATAACCAAACTCTCAATAATTAAACTACTCCCTCCGTTTCATAATATAAGTCGTTTTGGAAAAAAAATTTTGTTTCACAATATAAGTCGTTTTCAAATTCCTATGCAAATTATATATTATTTTAATATTTTATAATTATTTATATTATGCAGTCTCTGTTGTGATTGGCTGAACTTTTTAAAAGTAGATATTCTTAATATGCGTGCTTAAAGCTAAAACGACTTATATTATGAAACGGAGGGAGTATTAGTTATAAATTATATCATACTACCTATGTAGCCAAATAAGTATTTATTTTTAAAATCTGACTTCAAAAATAATAGACTAGTTGTCATGTACGATATAGATCAAATAAGACCTTAAGTTTACTCTTTCAAATAAGAGATCATTGTAGCATTTAAGGGTCGAATTCCACAAAGCTCTTTTGTTCAAAGCTAACAGTCTCGAAATTAAGCTAATAAAATATGAGAAAATTAAAAGACAGAAAAACAATTAAATCGGGTGTGAATTCAAATAGATTAAAGTTTCAGGTTTAGGGAATTTCTCAGGAAATAAACACATAGTAGATCTAGCAATTAATTAGGATAATTATCGAACTGTTCTAGAACTCAAATCACTAAGCTATAGCCAACCAACTATCGCCTGAATTGACTAACTAAACCTAATAGCAGAAAGTTCCAACTCTCGTATGTAAACTCCTAAAATTAGACTAGCATTAAAATCCGGTTTGATATGTTCATAGAGATTCCTACACCAACTCTCTGTATCTAGTAATTTTTGTACACCTAAGATAGTTCTAGTAACATGCGTACTCTCGTGTCTAACCTATTATCCTAAGATCAAGTTCTAGTTAGCTACTCTAGAACTAGCATGAAGAACAATCAAAAGTAAAGAACTCTATAGATTAATCTTAACAGGTTATCGATCTACTAATTCATCTAAATCCCTAATGAGAATCCCTAAACCTAACAGGAAAACTACTCAAACATGATCATAGAAACAAAAAGCATGTTTGAATAAATTTGCATAAAGAAATCAAAAGTAGAATAGAGTTTAGAAAAGATCTTCTCTCTACAAGGGTTTGAAATCTCTGAAAGTAGCTATCTCCAGTTATCTTTCAAAGGGTTCAAGCTCACAAAGTAGAAAGCAAGATTGCAAGATTGCTTGATGATGAATAATAAAAACCCTAAAAACTATTTATAATGTCTGAAAACATGCAGGGACTAAAATTGTAAATAGTGAAGTCTTCTAGGCCTATTCTGTAGGCTTCAAAACTCTTAAACCGTCAAGACTTTTGTTGGGTCGTAGTCGCTGAACCGGCGTCGATAAAATTAGTGGTAGCAGAACAGTCTCTATTTAGCGACCAATATGCGACCACTGTTTGTCGTCGCTAGGCGGTCGACACATAGTCGCTATTTTAGCGGCTGTTTTGCTACAAATAGGCCACTAAATGGCGATTGTTTTGGCGACTATTTTATGACTGAGCTAGCGACTGTTTTACCAATACAAGGAGACAGTTTTGTGAATGTTTTGGTGACTGAATTGCTACTACTGTGCGACTGATTAGAGGCTTTAGCCTGCTATTTTGGAATCAAATTATGAATATATAATCAAAACCGAACATACAAATAAGAACCTTAGAACCTTGGAATTAAAACAAAAAAACATAATAAACATACAAATAATACTTGTTCAATCCAAACAAAACCAAAAAATAAGACTTGTTCAAGTACTTGTACCAACACCACTAATAAACCAAACAAAATAACAAGTTCATGTTTTTAAGTTGAGAGGAGAGAAAGCTAAGGGACATCAGTAGCAGGAGTAGTAGCAGGGACCTTTGATTGAGCATCTGCAGGAGTATATTGAGATTTGAGGAAGGCCAGAAAATTTGGGTCTGTTTCGCTCAAGTACTTCTTCACCATCATCAAGTGCTTTATCTCAGCTGCTTGCTAAGCTGCGACCCGCACAGCCTCTGCTTCACGTTCTGCTTGTAGAGCTGCTTGTTCATCTATCTTGCGGTTAGCATCATCAAGCTGTGATTGCAGGGGGTGTGAAAGAAGAAGTGCTTCCTGGGTACTTACGCTTCCGTTGATGTAACCCTTAAGCTTCCAACTCCAAAGTATTCTCCTCTATCATTTGTGACAGTAGACTACATAACAAACGAAAGAGTATTAGTCCTTAACATTTGATCAAAGCGATAATCTGAGAAAAAAGCAACCATAAATAACCACATAATTACCTGTAGGAAGATCTCATCATCCTCCTCTTAAGATAGCTCAGAGCGACGCGAAGTACCATCAGACTATTCATCATTCTCATGAAGGGCAGCCAACTTAGTTGTCTTGTTCTTGAGATATGCCTCATAGATTTCCTGCGCCTTCCTATCCACAAATGTCCCATCCTTCTTGGTATGAGTCCTGATGAATATTTCACCAATAGTAGGCGGTCTTCCCAATTCAACTTCCTGAAATGTTGTAAATCTGTCAAAATGTAACTAAACAGAACAAATTTAAAACAGAGATGTAACTTACCATCTCTTGCTCTACTTGTAAGAAGGACTTCGGACTAGATACATGCTTGTGAGGACCAAGACCATTACGGTCAGACATTCTAGCTGTTGATGTGGTTGAACTCTTTGCTATGGCTTCTTCAGTGTCCCAATAGTCACACATCTCTTTCCACAGTTTTTTCTCAATCCAATACGGCTTCTCTCTTTTTGTCGCTGCCTTACTAACCATGTGTTTCATACAAAGTTGAATAATATTATAGAATTTGGCTTCAACCACACCTGTCAGTGAGGGACGCCAAGTGTGTTGTTTCTACAAAACAAGAGGAGAGTGAAGCAGATTTTAGTGATCAAAAAACCAAAACAGAAGTATAAATACAGTAGTAGAAGAGGAGATAGAAGTTTACCGCGAATTCGAGGAATATCTTTCTCTTCTTGCAGTTGGCACACAACTCCAACTGTAATATGGTCCATCAAACTTGTTTGAAAAACACTTTGTGATCTTCCGGGTCAGCTTACCATTGTCCTTACCAAACCTACAATCACATAAAACAGTTAGCTATGAATTCATCTAGATACCAAGAAGGCCTAATCTATATACTAACTTTAACTCGAATTCTATACACAAGCAGACCTAAACATAATCTATATATACAGACCCGAACAGACCCATTTACAAGATACCAAACCTAGATGCTTGTAGCAACAGTTAAGGACTAATCTATACAAAAACAGACCTATACATAATCTAAGATGAGACTGAGAGAGAGTGTGAAACATACCAAGTGGTTTCAGGCTCCAATGTGGAAGAGATGACAGTGGTATAATTCTCAAGGCCTGGCATGGTAAACATCTCATTTAAACTAGCGAGTACATCTTCCGGGACAGTTGAATCCCTTAAACCATCTTCCTCAGATTCAGCTTCAGCTTCATCTTCTTCATCGTGTGAGTTTTGAGCTTGAGAACTGTGATACGACACAGAGGCTCTTGGTACCTGAAGAGGTGGTCGTTGTTGATTCATGACTGGAGACTGAACTGGCGCTGGAGATTGATTCGACGCCGCCACTTTTTTGGATCCAGAGGCTAACCGATTAATAGAGGAGATAGAGCCCCTGTCTTGAGTCGATCCAGATGCTCGAAATGGAGTCAATCCAAAGCCTCGAGGAGATCCAGATGCGTGAGGAGATCCGGATGCTTCGCCCGACTGAAAAAGCTGCTGAGGAGGTGGATAATCTCTGTGACTAGGAACCGTGAAGGCTGGCCAATCGAATTTTTCTCAAACTCTGGAATTGGAGCTTGAGGGTTCGCCGGCGTGAAGTCATACCGCTTGGGAAGGCTTCTAGGTCTTCGATTTGACAGCTATGAAGAAGTCGGTCGACTTGAGACAGTGGGTCACTTTGCCGGAGACTTCGGCCCCCTTCCTCTTCCTCTTCCCTGCCTTTTCCACCACGAACACGAGGAGCCATCGATTGAGATAAAGCTTGATGAAGATTGGGAGAGAGATTGGGGATTAGGATTTGCGGATTAGGGTTCGAGATTGAGAGAGTGGAGATTAGGGTTTGCGGATTAAGAGGAATCGATTAGAGAATCGAGGGAGATTGAGAGAGATTAGAGAATCGAGATTGAGAATAAGAGAACTAGGGATCGAATTAGGGTTTGAGAGGTTGAGAGGATTGGGGATCGAATTAGGGTTCGAGAAAAATGATGAATTAGGGTTTCTCGCGTTAAGATATAGCTTATATAGTTGGCCCTACGAGGAATTGTTACTAGATCGAGCCAATTAAAATGCTCAATAAGAACAATATAGTCGCTAAATCGTAGCTAATCAGTTGGTAACGTTGGCGCCTAAAGATTTAGTAGCTAATTAGTCGCCGAATTTGGCGACTATACTAAGACTGATTTTATCATTCGTAAATTGCAGATGGATTAGCGACTAATATAATTTAGGCAACATTCAGTCGCCAAAAAGTCGCCATGCAGTCGTAATATTTAGCGACTAATTTATCAGTCGCTGAATGAAGTCGCTAATCCCGTGTTTTCTTGTAGTTAGTCGTTATCAAGTCTCATTCCTAAAGGCATGATTGTTTGTCTGTCATTGGTGACAGTGATATATCATGGTTTTTACTGTTTTTAACCATGATATAAGTATATTTTTAAGAGTCTTTTTGTTATTTCTAGATTTTTTTCTAGTCTTTTTCAGGTTTATGCACGTACGAGACCAATTTGGAGATTATGAATCATTCTGGAGCAAAACCGAGTAGTTATGCTGCAAGAGCAATCCGGAGACCAATCTTGGTGTAGGTGTCGATCGAATTGAATTGCAGAAAGTGCCCAGAATTTTTTCCTATTTCCAAAGAAGTCTCTGCACGTTTTTAAGAACATATAAATAGATTTTTAGGGTTTTGTTTTTGGAGATCTATCTATCTTTGATTCTATTGTATTTTTTGGAGCTTGAACTCTTTGGGAGATAATTGGAGAGAGCTCCCCTCTAGAGAAGATCTTTCTTAACTCATCTCTTTTATTGAATTTCATTATGCTTTCTATTCATAACATGCTTTATGTTACCATGATCATATCAGAGTTGTTTGTTTGTTAGGTTTAGGGATTCTCATTAGGGATTTAGATGAATTAGTATATCGATAACCTATTAGGATAATATCTTTAGAGTTCTTCATCTTTGATTGTTCTTAATGCTAATTCTAGAGTAATTAACTAGAATTTGATCATAGAATAATAGGTAGATTCGAGAGGTCATCTATTACTGGAACTATCTTAAGTGGGCAGAAATTACTAGATTCATACGAGAGGTGGTCTAGGAATATCTGTGAACATATGAAACTTGTTATTAATGATAGTCTAATTCTAGGAGTTTACATTCGAGAGGTGGAACTTCCTGATATTAGGTTTAGTTAGTCAATACATTCTAGAGGTGGTTGGCTATAAATTAGTGATTTGAGTTCGTTAATAATCCTAATTAATTTGCTAGATCTACTATTTATTTATTTCATGAGAAATTCCTAAGCCTAACGTTTTCTTCATCTGATTTAAAACCTGATTTTAATTGCTTTCTTTTATTTTTAATATTCATATTTTCTGTTTAGCTTAATTCAAAACATATTAGTCTATTGTGTGAACACGAGAGCGTTGTGGATTTCGACCCTAAAGTGCTGCAATGATCTCTTATTTGAGAGAGTAATCTTAGGTCTAATTTGACTCATATCAGACAGAAACCAACGATAACAACCAAAATTGTTTGTTTGCATGTTGTTAGTTCGGTGACTAATTACATCGATTGTCACCAACGACCAAAGATCACAACTTTCAATTGCTCGAATTTTCAGCGATCATCAACGATCAGTCGCTGTGATTGGTCGCAAAATCCAGCGACAAGCAAAAGAACAAAATAGTGATAAAAATATATTAATAAAAGCAGAAGTTAGATTAAATAAATTTATTTAAATCTAATTTAAATTTAATCTAAAAAATTAAATCTAATTAAAAACATTTAATCTAAGTAAATTAATGTAAATTTAATCTAATTAAATTATATCTAATCTAATTAAATAATATATATGAAATGAGGCTATCTCTCTCCATCCTTCCGCCATGTCAACATTTTAGGCTCTTTTGGAGATGACACATCAACTTTCTATTCTTCTAATCAAAACATTTTATTAATATGATTCAACTTTCAAATTTTACACATCATCTTCTAATTATAAGTGTCAAATGGGGTAAACAGAATAGCCCATGACGAATGGGCCATATGGGTTTGAAAATCTATTAAGAGTGCAATATTAATGGGTCAAACCCATTTCAGTGATGGGTTAATGCTTGTAAACCCAACATATATTCTAATTCCCCACAAGACTTTAGCAAAATAAATCTCTCCCACTCTCTGCTAGATCGTTCAATCTGAAAGAAGAAGAATCTCAAGGCAAATTTCTCGTCTTTGTAAATTTCTTCGCTTCTCAATCATATTTCTTTCCACTCTTCATAGTCTCCTTTTCTGTACATCATTTTCTATTCTCCTCTCCTGTTTTTCATTGATTTTCCCTAACTTCAATGATTGCCGGCACCAACAAGATTCAATTCCTCTTTTATTCGGACATTGAACCGGAGCCTTCATATCCAGTTTCTCGATTTACCGGACAAGAAAGCGTGATGGAAGAGCACCTACTCAAAAATGGTCTCCATCCTTTCATTAGCTTTGGAACGCAAAGCCTCAACCGTTGTCCCTAGATAAGGGAAAAAGAGTGCAACGGTCAAATTCCCACAATAAGGTGATTCGGCTCGTCATTCTTTGATTACTCTTGAACCATCATTAGTCTTCTTAGGGTTAATTTGCTGGTGAATAATTAACCATAGGCCTTGTGCTTGATTAGGACTCCATTTGGGCAAGAATCCTCCAAAATGATCCATATCAACCGGTTTAATACATGTACCGGCTGGTTTGGTATACTTCCGGTTTTGTTTGATTTGGATGTCTGCATCAAAACGTGATCCCTAAATTCTTGACGGGAAATGGATTTACAAAGATTTTTAAGGGTTTTAAAAGGATTTTCAAGAATTTTATAAAACTTTACAAGTGTTTTAATAGATTTATAAAGTTTTTTAAAGGTTTTAAATTGTTTATAAGGGTTTCTAAAGGATTCTATAAGAGTTTTTAAAGGATTTAAAGAGAGTTTAAAGGATTAATAAGGGCTTTAAAAAAAATTATAATCGTTTTAAAAAGATTTCCAAGAGTTTTTTTTTAAATTTATAAGGGTTCATAAAGGAATTATAAGGATTTGAATTTTTAGTGGTAACTTACATTCTATTTTTTATATAGATTAATCTATTTATTTTGTTTTAACTTTAAATTTTTTATTTTATAATATAATTTAACTATCTATTTTATCATATTAAATTGGATTTTAATTCTACGCACTCCAAATATTTATATCAAAACTAATATGTGCATCATATCAAATATATATATACATATATATATATATATATCTTAGTTAATATAAAAATAATTCAAAAATTTTAAAATACATAGTTAATAAAAAAAATTAATGTTAAAATCAGTATATATATGCGTATTAAAGACATAAATGTAATTGTGTTTTAAAGCTGATATTTTTAAAATGGTTAAAAATTTACATATAATTTTCTTATAATTATCTTTTTTTTTACATTTTAAAAATTGTTACAAACAAAATATTTGTGACCAAACGATAAATTTGACACGTTGTCTCGATCATATGAGTTAGTAACTTTGAAAACCAAGCTTTATTTTATAAGATATATTTTATTTTATTTTTACTTTTAGTCATATTATAACTTGAGAAGATATTTTTTTATTTATGTATAAATTTTCTTGTTTTTAGATAGGTTGTTAAACATTTTTAATCTATCCAATCATACATTTTATGCATATTAACCGGATTCCTAATATGTCTGCCACCTTCTTTGTTTAAATATATTCCATCTTCTCTTGCTCTCCAGTCCCATAGGCCTCCATGATCCGTAACACCGAAAAGCTTGAATGCTGTAAATTTTTGATAATGTTTATAGTTAGGCTCTTGTCTCAAAGTACACATAAAACGCGTCGTAGCCCATAAATTAATACGAAAAGAAATGTCAACATGTTGTCCGATTGGTATTGTTTTTGGACCGAATACATCATCTTTGGAATAACATCTAATCCAGAGAAGTTTCTTGAATTTGAGTTCGTTCGCTATCCTGATTCCAGAGCCGGATACATGGCCAAGCATGCAAAGACTGAAAACGAATAGAAAGACTGAAAAGTTTTTCATGTTTTTGGGTAGATATTTAGATTTTTTGCTTTGTTATTGGCTTTTGTATTTCAGATATTATATATACACACATTTGTATTACTATTGTTGGCATAGTATGTCAAATGGCATAATATCTTATAATAATCATATTAGGCATACATAAAATCTATTAAAATTGAATTTTTAAGAAAAATGGTAAAATCAAGTAACCAATTGTAGATAATACTAGAAAATTATATGCAAGATCAAATGATAAATCAAGTAACCAATTTTGCATAATCAAACTCTCAATAATTAACCTATTAATTTATAAATTATATTATACTATCTTGATTGCTCGAGTAATTAACTCAATACACTTAACCGTTAGGCAGTATATTCGAGGTCGATCCACAAGGACCAAAGATACTCTAAGAATTTCCGAGACTCGTTCTTAGCTAAAACTAAAAAGATTGTTTGTTTGGTTTTTCGAATTGTAAAATAAAAATACAACAAATTTAAACGATTAAACTTATGAATTAAAGACATTGGGTCATAGGGTATTTCAGAGATCAATAAAAAATGGAAACATGATACAAGGAATTCAACAATTAAGTACCATTCTTGAACATGAACACAACTAGACTAATTTTCTTTCAAGATATTAATCACTAAATTTGACTACTCGATTACTAAACTTTCGCATGTAATTTCCTAGTCAAATTTCTCATTATCAAACAAGTTCATTAAGTTCACAATGCGTCATAACGTCAACTTTCGTTGGCTAAGCATACATTGCTCAATTCACATTGGTTCAGGCATTCTATCGAACACTTTTGATGCATAAAAAAACCTAGAATCGACAACAGGGTGATCAATCCTATTCTAGCATTAAGAACATGCGAATCAAAGAACCTAAGGAATAAGAACTCCTAATAACAATCAATCCATTAATCCATTGAATCTCCTAATTAGAACCCTAAAACCCAATTGGAGAACTACTCACACATTGCAAAAGAAACAACAAAAATAGATGTAAAGGAAAACATAGTTCAATTGAATAGAAATGAAATAGGGTTTAGAAATCTTCTCCAAATTGTCAAGAAGGATGAATCTCCAATCCCAAAGTGCTTACAGAAGAGAAGTCTCAGAAAAATTACAGAAGAAAACGTGAATAGAAAAATTAGGTCTCTGGGGCTTTTATACTTAGTGCAGAAATAGAAAGCTAAAATTCGGTTAAGGAAAACCGATTTAGTCGTCGAGGCTTGGATCGATCGATCCCCTCAACTCCTGGAATTTGAGGCTTCGACGTCACAATTGGGATCGATCGATCCACGCTTTGGATCGATCGATCCTCAGCTTCTGGTGATCTTTATACCTTTTCTCCACTGTTTTAGCTCCGGATAGGCCCAATTACGCACAAGATGCTCCAAATCCCGCTCGTATACCCATAACCTACAAAGGACTCAAGACACAACCGAAAAGTCGCAAAAGACGGACTACGACACGACAAATGACTCAAAACGCGGACTAAATCAAGACTCAAAACCGTCAAAAACGCAACACATCATATCTGTTAAGTGATATTTTAACATATTTTATAAGTTTATTTTATATGTTTTAACGAGTCTTTTATTTAGGAATAAGTCGTTTTCGATATAAATAAGTGTTTTTAGGAATTTAGAGTCTTTTAGTATTTTATCGAGTCTCTACAGGTTTTAGATTGCTTCGGAGAAAAAAGAGCCGTTTTGGGATATAAATACATATTTGGATATAAAGATTTGTTTTTAAGTGTTAGACATTTGGCCTCAAATGGAGGATTTCTACCGTTAGAACTTTTCCGATTTTTTTATACAAGTTTGATAAAGATGTTAGCTTAATTTTCCAAATGATATGAAGGAAATCTAACGGTGCATTCAAGAGTTATATCCGATTTAGTAAAGAAACGCGTGCACTAGAAGCAGTTGCGCAGAATATGATACCAGAAGAGCCAGATCAATCGGTCTATTTTTGGATCGATCGATCAAAAATATGTTTGAAAATAGACAATATGAAAGAATATTTTTGAAAAAAAACATAGAAAAGGATTACAAATGCCCCTTACCTATATAAGTGTTATATTTACAATCTTTATTCAAACTTTTAAAAATGTATTCTATCCTTTCAAAGATTAAGCATTTCTTGAATTTTTATTGACTTCAATTAGAGAAAAATAAAATAATTTTGGTATTCTAAAATCTGAAGAATAAAATAAAGTTATTTCACTTATTACCGACACAAAAAGTTATGGGAATTTTGCCAAATGTACCACATTTTGGGAAAATCCTAGCAAATGTACCACATTTGAAATGGATTTAGCATTCATACCACATTTGGTGTTTGTGTGGCAACTCTTGGACGATTTTGCCCTTCTCTGTGCGTCAGGTATGTGTCAGGGGAAGGAGCTACAGTAGACGCCGGTTGAGAAATGGGGACAACTTTGTGTCAGAGAAGGACAACTTTGTCTGAAAGACAACTTTGTGTCAGAGAAGGACAAAACATTGCATTAAATGCAGTTTACATTTACCATGGACAATAATTATGAAATAGAGTGAATGATGTCCCCCAAGAATAAGTCCAGATCTCTTGATTGTCCATCACCAGATGATGTGGTTTTACCAGCCAGAGATCTGGATTTACTCGGGGACAACTTCTCTTGATTGTCCATCGTCAGATGATGTGGTTTTACCAGCCAGAGATCTGAATTTACTTGGAGACAACTTGATCTTTATTTTATTCCGCCAAAGAGCCGAAGACGAAGATCTGGATTTACTCGGGGACAACTTTGTTTTACCAGAGGGACGAAAATGGTTACCAATGCGTTAGGAGAGAGACTGTGGACGGCAGAAAATTCGGAGACTACGAAGATCTGGATTTATTCGGGGACAACTTTGTTTTACCAACCAGAGGGACGAAAACGGTTACCAATGCGCCAGGAGAGAGAAAAAGGACGGCAGATTGTAGCTCCTTCCCCTGACACATTCCTGACGCAGCCAGAAGGGTAGTTTCGTCTTTCCAGATGACGAATGTGGTATGGATGCTAAGTGGACTCAGAAAGTGGTACTGGGCCTAAACTTTTTGAAAAAAGTGGTACTGAGGCTAATTTTCCCAAAAGTTATTCCACTTAATTAAAAAAAAAACAATTTATCTGCGATAAAAAAAAAAAAAAAAATCCTCTCTTATCTCTCTCAATCTTTTACTATTAATTTATTAGGTTCTTTCGAGAAAAAATCGATCAGAGCTTTTTAGAGAAAAAATGGAATTCACCGCAGAGCAGCTAAGCCAATACAACGGCACCGACGAATCGAAGCCGATCTACGTCGCAATCAAAGGCCGTGTATTCGATGTCACCACCGGAAAATCCTTCTACGGCTCCGGAGGCGATTACGCGATGTTCGCCGGAAAAGACGCGAGCAGAGCTTTGGGAAAGATGAGTAAGAACGAAGAAGATGTATCTCCTTCTCTTGAAGGTCTCACTGAGAAAGAGATCAATACTCTTAATGATTGGGAGACCAAATTTGAAGCTAAGTATCCTGTCGTTGGCCGTGTTGTCTCTTAGGTCAAGATCCTTGTCTTTTATGATCTGGATTATGTTATGTAACTATTGTCTGTGAGGATCTTTGTGTTGTGTGTTTCTGATATCGTGTTTGGATCTGATCGTTTTGATGACGATTTTGATACAATAAACATAAAAACCAACTTATCTATGAAATAAATTGGTGATTTAGTGTCCATTTTTCTTTTTATTTTTTTGCTCTGTATTGCTCAATGATAGATCTGCGTGGAATCACATGAGATTGATATGTTTAGGTTAGGGATTTGTCAATTTTATTCAATTAGAGATTGAGAAAAACACTAAGTGTGTAGTAGGAACCAAGAATAATGATAAGTGTGTCTTGGCTTCTGTCTTGAGGCCTTGAAGCTTGCTTTGTTGGACTCCTGTCTTGAGGTTCTTGCCTTTGCCTTGCGTGTTGCTAGCGGGTCTTTCGTTTGTTGTGATGGTACTGGTCTTAAGTGGGATAGGCTCTGTTGACGGGTCTCCTCTAAGCAGCCTTGGAGCTCGCCGGAGGAGCTAGTACTGGACGACGGTTGTCAGGCAGGTTCCCACTCGCGGTGTCGTAGATCCCGGTCCTTTCAATCCCTGATGCTTCACTTGTTTACAATTTGAGAGTGTGGATTGTTCACGGAGAAGCTGTAAGCTCTGTCCGATCTAAGGTTTTTGAGGGCTGGCCTCGGAGTCCAATTTGAATTCATTTCTTCGCCATGAAAGTCCATGTTCCGCCGTCTTAGCTTGTTAGTTTTATTCGTCTTCGCCATGAAAGTCCATTTTGGCAACCCTTTTTTAAGAGTAAACCTTAAGTTTTCTGTTATATCTATTGGTCTTCATATAAATCATATTCTGATTCTAAGGTTACTTTGTAGTTTGTTGTGATGATTTGGATTTAGGTCTCATATATTCGATGAGAGATTATAAAGATTGGTTGGTGTCTTTCATATGTTACAAACACTTGGAGGTAATTGTGGCTGGTAAAAAAAAAAACTAATGGTTTCTGAAAATCTGAGCAAGACCAAACTTACTGTATTACAAAGCAAATCAGTGTTTTTTTTTTGGTTTTGGATTCAGTGTAAATTCTCTTACAAGTTCCAAGTTGTCAATTTTAGTCTTTTGGGTTTTGAGATTTGGAAGAATATAGTTATGATGAACATTCAGAATTTAGAGAAGTAATATAATGTGTGCCTTCTTTCTTACTTCTCAGTCTAATTAAATTTTTTTTTTTTTTGGCAAAGAGAGAAGTACGACTTGGGCCCTCCTGTTTCGGCACAGCGTTCTTGCGACTAATGTGTGTCTTGGTGGTTTCAGAATGCCTCTGTGATGCCTATAGCTATGCTCGTTTATCAAGAGAGAGCCATCCTAACTTAGATATTATTTTGGCATTTTAAATAAACAATGCACAAACCACCTCCTCCAAGAACTAGATACCTTGTTGGATTTGAGCCAAACCTGGAACATAAGTGAGGAGAGGTGGGGTAGGAGTTTCAGCACCATGTTGATCCTTATGTATGTATTTATTCTTTCCCACAATTTGTCAAAATGTTGTTGGAGAACCTGGGGGTGATTACAAGACACTACAACTTTGTTCTCCTGGTCGACTAAGAAACTCATCCCAATACAAAACCGCAAATGATAGCGGAGATCAAATTTCGACACTGTCAGGAACTTGCTCCATGATATGTCTTTTGTAATCTCCATCTTAGTCGCTATCCATACCTTAGAGGCTCTGAATAGCAAATATACAAAGTTGTTGCTCTTCTCTAGTCAATAGTCATTGATAAAGCCACACAACAATAAGAAAGAGGAACATCCTCGGGAAGAGACACACTTTGGAATCTCTCTGTTGAAAAATCAAAACATAGTAAGATAACACCTTGTCCTTGTTGACTAAAAGCAAGCCAGTAAATATTTCCCTTCACAGATGTGCCAAGACGTTGAAACCGTGGTATGAACCAGTCTCCAGTCTCACCAACAACCCGCCACAATTTAGAGGTAAATTCATAGACTTGGTACTCAATTTTTAATGGGAAATGATCGCCAGATCGATTCATCGTCAAGATTTGGTAACAGGCGGATCTGTTATCGTAACCGAGAGCATAGTGTTTGATTTCCTTGTAGCTAAGTCTGGGTTGGATCCACCTTCTTTTACATGAACATGGATTCCAGACAACCAGTTTATTGGCTTTGGTGGTGCATAGCAACAAGCCGTTGCAGTGAAAGACCGTCTATCAACTTCTTCTGAAGAGTTAGAAAGAGGATTAGGCTGAATTGACAGTTACCTTTGCAGTTGGAACAGCCTTGTCGTTGTCAACTTTATGGTGAGAAACGCTCACGCTCACTTACAAATTCCCTATTGTCAATCAACAAGAGAACTTGAGTGGAGGAGGTCCTTGAAGCATTTTTTTTTTTTTTGAATATAATGTTTAATTAGATTCAAAAGAAAAATAAACGTTTTTACAACTAGTGCAACTTTTGGTTGATTTATGCTTAAAACATGAGATCTAAAAACTGTTACTTAACTCCTTGATTCAAACCACACTTGGAGGCTCTTGTCGTATCTTTGATCTCCATGTGATCGGATTGATGAGATCTGATTCCGAATTTGCTTATCTATCATTCTGATTATGCAGGCTGCAGGATTTGGGTTCTCCCCAATGTCTTCTTCCATTCCTCTCTCTCCATACAGTATATACCGTTGCTTGAAAGAGATATCGAGCAATAAAGCTTTCCACTCGGTCTTGCCAAGTACTCGAGATAGTGGGGATCAGGATTTACCAGCTGGTTGAGTACTTTGCTTTGTAGATATTCTTGGCCAGATTCTTCCAAATTTCAGAGGTGAAAACGCAGTCGAAAAACAGGTGGTTTCTGGATTCTAAGTCGTTGTTGCATAAGACACAAGTCGTTGCTAGTGCTTCTTAGAAAGAAATCTCCCATATTTGATCAGAGCGTTCCATTCTTTGGATATTAATCGCAATCGTGCCAAAGGCACAGCCGGAAACCTAGAGAGTCCACCACCAAATCCTCTGGGAAATGCATTGTGCTAGAAAACGACTGTTTCGAAAAAAATCGTTGAACTCTTAGTAAACAAGGCACATTAGAGATTTTAGCCCTAAAAACATTCTAATGGTTCCTCTGATCCCTATGCCCGATGACATCCTAATGATTTTGCACATTGTTAGATCAATGTATACCCATATGCAACTATTTCAAAAATTTACTAAGCATACATGATTTAAACATTGAGAAACTCTGTTTATATTTAATCATCATAGAGTGATTAAAGTTACAATTGGTGACAATGTACCATAACACATAAATAAATAAAAGAACAACATGTATCTATTAAGCATTATTATCCTGTAAGTTTAATAGTTAAACTTTGATGAAAAAGTCACAAATATCTACTAAATAGTAATATCATTTAAGTTTCTTTTTGTCTCATTTATTTCAATGTTATCACATACAACTATTATATATATATATATATATATATATAAATTGAGTTGAGTTCATAAGCTAGTAACCTAAATTTAATTTACATGTATTTAGTATAGATACACAAAGCATAATAATGCATCATAAGGTTCGTACAACACAAATTAAATACTTTTAACTTTGATAAAAGAAAGTCACATGTATCTATTAAACATTAATGCTCTTTATGTTTATACTTATCTCATACTTTAATATTATTATATATATAGTTATTAAATATTGAAGTATGGAAACAAATCTCTCTTTACTCTTACATTTCACCCTAACTCTCTTCTTAACGAATATGAATTTAAGTTGTTGGAGGATGTTGTTATTCTTGTTGGGTTATATCTTGTATATTAATCGTTTTGTGGATGCTGAAATATTGCAAACTTTCAGTGGTTTTAAAATTGAAGAGCAACTTAAAGTCGTCAACAAACCTGCTACGAAAATTATCAAGGTCCGTTTAATAATATCTTAAACTCTAGAACCATACTATTCACGTTGAATTGCATGTACTTATAAATGAATGCATGTTCTTATACTATATATATATGAATTTTACAAACTAATCTCTAATCTAATTTGTTTCTGAATGATAGACTATACATGGCGATTCATATAGATGTGTGGATTTTTACAGACAACCAGCGTTTGACCATCCGTCGATGAAAAATCACTTATTTCATTATGAAGTAAATAATATATTTAATACATGTGAATTTGATAATTTATACAATAACTAATACAAAATTTATCTGTAAATATAGATGGGTCGGCCATCATCCTTACAAACTTCAAGAGCAAATAATGGAAAGTTTGGTTACTTGTGGAAAAATGGCATAGGATGTCCCATTGGTACCGTGCCTATAAAAACAATTGCTAAAGGTTATAAGCCTAATAATTATAAGCCTAGAGGTTCTTGGAACTTCACTTATAATAAATATAATGTTGATGGTAATCAACATCATGTAAGTGGTCTAATCTTTGTTATATTTCAAAATTATATATATACTATTATACAAACTCATAACATAAATATTGGTTATGCATATGGTGTTGATGATTAGTTTGCAGTGTCTCGTACCAAGGGAAAAGGAAAAATCTATAATGGAGCAACAATGATACTTTCTATAAATGATCCTAAAATTAAATCTTTACAATATAGTTCCGCTCGTATGCACGTTCAAATTGGAGATGATTTTATTCAAGCTGGGTGGACTGTAAGTTTGTTATCATATCTTATATTTTATTTGAATTATAACATGTGCTCTAGATAATATAAATAATTATGATAAGTAAATGTTTTTAAAAAAATCTAAAATTTTGATATGTTCCTTTAATTTATTTCCATAAATTTATTTACATTTCAGGTAAATCAAAAGTTGTATTCTGACAACAAGACTCGAAGTTATGTGTATACGAAAGTAAGTTTATTATCAATATATGTATGTCTAATATATTACTTATCCCATCATATTTTGTGAAAGATTTTTAATGTACAAAATATTTTTGATGTTAGGCATAACGATATATTTAATTATACAGGTGGGTGAAAATCAATGTTATAACAGCCTGTGTCCAGCTGGGATTATAGTGGTCAGTTCAGATATTTCTCTTGGTTTTTATTTAGGTCCTCCTAGTGTTCGTGGTTCAAGATCAGGTGTCTATTCTGAATTTGGTTTACTCAAGGTTTGTTCCTTTCTATTTTATGATATTTTGTTTATCTATATATACATTTATTTTATTTTATTTATTATCTACATTTACAACTAAACAAATTTATGTTTTAACTCGTTACTAAGTTTTCTGCAAAAAAAAAAAAAAAAAAAAAAAAAAATTTCAAATCGCTTTTAAAAATACATTTATCCTTTACCTAGGTGTGGGCAAAATACCCAAAAGAGGTTCGAATCGATTTTGATTCCTATTTAATTGGGTATTTCGGATTATTTCGGGTAATTTGGGTAGATTTGGATAGCCAATCTGAACTGCACCCAAAGATTTTTAACTCTCCATTCTATTTTTTCATTCGCTGAAATTCGGGTTTTTTTGGGTATTAAAGGTACTTACATATATAGTTTGGTTAGGTTTGGAGAAAAAGTACTACAACCAAATTGTATCCAAAAACTATCGGATTTTTTCAGGTTCTCTATTCAACTATCCGTACCTATCCAAACGATAAACATACCAAACCAAACACGATCCAAAATTTGAAAATACAAAAATGGAACTTAGCCTCAAAAACCGAAATACTTGAAACCTGAAATACTCGAACTAACCCCGAACCGCAACCTCTACCTACAAAAAAATGCAAATCAATCCCGCAAAATCAAAACTAATACAGAATATATTTTTTTTGTTAAAGAAGTAATACATAATGTAACCCTAATATTTGGCTTCAACAAGTTTTTACGGTCAAATACATTAAATTTTTAACATTATAAAAGCGGATTTGGATTTTGACTTTGATTTGGTATATTATTTATATAAGTTTAATAGATTTAAAGATAGTAACGACATGTTATATTGCGTTTTATTCTTGAATTCGTGGGATTGACTTGTATGTTTAGGTGATGGAGGGTAAAATTACATAAAGTGATGATTTTACGGGTTATTTTTTCAGAAAATCATGTTATTTAACAATAAAGTTCTAGAACATATATCAAATATAGGGAATAAATCTCACACAAGATCAAACAAAAAAACTCAAACTGTTTTTGTTAGTCAAAGTTATATCGGTATTTAACAGTTTGTTTGAATAAAATCATTATCTATACAATGATCTGTCTTTGTTTTGATGTGACAATTGATAAAGAATAAGGAAAATGGTAATTGGTGGCTCAAGTTAGGAGGACAAGAAATTGGGTATTGGCCAGGAAAAAATTTTCAACAAAGTTTTGCCAACAATATCGAGTGGGGAGGAGAAGTATATAGTGCATCTTTACCGAGTCCTCAGATGGGGAATGGTTATTTTCCAGAAACGCATATAGAGTTTGATGCCGTCATCTTTAATATAACTATAGTCAACGAAAATTTTAAGAGTGTTGAGCGGATAAAGAATAGAGAGGCATTTTCAGATAACACTCGTGGTTATAAAGTTTATGATGATATATTCGTAGAATTACCGATAAGAAATGCCATATATTATGGGGGTCCAGGAAATATCTAAAAGCGAGAAAATAATTTATGTAAAAGTTAAAGAAAAATTCTAAAAAAGCAGCTTGGTTACAAGCATCTAAAATTAAGTATTCATCTTTCTTCTTTTTTCATTGTGGATTTATATATATAATAACCAAAAAAAAATTACTAAAGAGATGTTCGCAAGTTTGATGAGGGCATACACTATAGTGTAATCTTTTTTACTAGTAATAAAATTTTAACTTTCCAAATAAACTTGTAAAGAAAAATGTCACCCAAAGAATTATGGGAGAAAAACAAAACTATAAATGTTGACCAAAAAAAAAAAATTGTCACTATGTTTGTTAAAGTCTTACATTGAATTCGGTTAAAATACATTGTAACTGATCTAAAATAAATTGTTTACCAACTGCAAATGCTGAAAAACTAGTTAGACAAAAAAAAAACTCTAATGCAGTTTCCTTTTTTTAGTCATCTGGAATTATATCATAAATCCCAAGAGGTCACACATCTAAAAGTGAGGACAACAACTCAACAATCATCAAGCCTAAACTAAGCCTCTTACTAACAAAAGAAGGGCAAGTACAAAAGAATTAACTCCAAACCCAGAGCCATACAACCCAAAAACTCAAATTCAATCAGAGGACAAAGCTCTTTCTTCTGCGAAGTCCCCATCATGCCAAGAAGGATGACCACTCGCAACATACGATTGTAGCCTACAGTCATTAGTAAGACTCTTCGCAATAAGAAAACCACCTCTGTTTGAAGAAGAGTTTTCTAAACCTTGAAAGACTTAAGAACTAAACCAGCCTCCATAGATTGGTATCTATAAGAAGGCCAAGCCACCGGTCTGATAATAGCCTTTACCAAAACCTCTTCCTGCAACGCAAAAATCACATTCTCTACTTTGTGACTCCTCATACTTTCAATAGCCCACATCAAAACCAAGAACTGAGTATCTTGCTTCACATTAATCCTCACAAAGACTCTCCTATTATAAAGTAAGACCACACTCAAATGGTCCCTTAAATCTCATGCACAACAATCAAACTTATTTCTGTTGGACCAAGATATACCAATATTGCATTTGAACCAATTTCTAGGTGGCGGACACCAACTAAACCTTTCACCATCATTCTCTTGTCTCTGACCATTCACCACTCCATTCTCCCTACTACTCACAAGAGGTACCCCCTTCTTCCTCAGTTTTCCGAGCATCAATCCATTCAACCAGTCCTCTCTGATTTTTTTGGTTGTATCTAGTGGAGAAAAACATTTACCTTCAAAAGAGGCAATGTTTCTGTTCTTCCAAATACGCCATAAAATCCAAAGGAACGGAGATCGTAATTCTTCTTACCATAAGGGATTCTTAATATTCATTAATAGGTAATGAATATTAGCAAAAGCAGAACCATTTTGAAACCCCCAACAAAGAGAGGGAATTCCAGTGAAGGCCTAGATTTGTCTAGCCATGGAACAAGAGAACAACACATGATTTACAGTTTCTTCATCTCCTCCACATAATTCACATCTTTCATCCAACTTCATCCCCCTATAATTCAACGCAGCAAAAGACCCAAACTTAATTCTAAAAACATACCACTTCGCCAACCCCTTTATGGCTCTAAGTCTTATCTAAAAGTCTAAAACACTCTACAAAGCTTAGGAACTAAAATTTTATGAGAGTTAACATATCTTATATTGTTCTTCATCGACTTTGCATTTTGTTCCCCCTCTCTTAATTTTCATGACTAATCTACTTGTAATAACAATGTTTAGTGAGTACTTCCAGCTTTTATGGTTTGTCTAACTAATCATGGAAACGATATGACATGATCACATGAGCTAGCCTGGATCTTGCGAGATCTCAACGTCAATAAGACTGTCACTAACAAATACGGCATTGGAGGCAAAGGCAATGAATCTTTTCCATGTGATGCAATTGATTTGGTGTCAAAGACACTTATCAATTCTTTTAAAAAATTGGATATAGGTTAGCCGGAATAAACTAGATTAGAAACGAATATTTGATTCCCCGAATGTTTTCACTCGCCCCTTCTGGCCAAGTGAATAGAGCGAGTGTGTCAGGCCGAGTGGATCAAGTCTAGTCAACTGCTTTGAACATCTATTTATACTTATCAAAAATATATGTTTATAATGGATCTGATAAGGCCCTTACAAATTAAAGAAAGGCTCACTGACCCAATAAAACAAAAGGCCCATACTAATATAAAAACGAGAGAGAGAGACAAAATTAGTGGAGCCAAACAGATATGTCGTAATTCAGGATTAGGTTTACTCTCTCTCCAAACTCTGCCCAATCTCTCTCCGCGCGTGCAACTGTAACCGGCTAACGGTACTCTGTTTCTTACTCTCATCTTCTTCTTTGTTGTACTTAGAGGAGAGAGCTAAGAAGATGAGTGGTCAAGAGGAGAAGAGAAACACAAGAAGTTGACCGCCTGACCGGTTTTCAAACACTCCCTCGAGTAGTGATGATGTTGAGGCAGATGCATCAGAGAGGCAAGAGGATGGAACCAATGGTGAGGTGAAAGAAATGAATGACGACACTAATAATCCTCAAACTTCAGAGTCCAATGCACGTCGTATTATAATCAGCTCTAATATAACCGATCCATGGAAGTCTGTGTCTGACGAGGTACTTGGACTAAATATTAACTTCCTTTTATTTCAAATCCTTTTCTCATACTAGTCTGTTGAAACCAAATATCGTACATTCAGGGTCGAATTTCTTCCAAGATCTCTTCTCCAAAGAGGTAGTACCGCAATGTTTTACATATCGAGAAGAACACGGAGAGGAGGAACAACAACAACAACAACAACAACAACAACAACAACAACAACAACAACAAATATACCCAATGGCACTTGATCTTAACTTCACAGCTCAGTTAACTCCTGTGATGATCAAGAGGAGAAGAGAAACACAGGATTTCTCAGAATCGGATTGGATGCTTCAAAGCTAATAAGTAGAGGAAGAACAACAGGTTTCAAACCATACAAAAGATGTTCCATGGAAGCCAAAGAAAGTGGAATCCTCAACAGCAATCCTATCATTCATGTGGAACAGAAAGACCCCAAACGGATGCGGCTGAAAACTCAAGCTTCGACATGAAACTCTATTTTCATCTCTTCTGTTTGTACTCTGTTTTTAAATTTTCAAGATCATTAGTACATTTTCTTTGTCTTTTGAGGCCTTTGTATTTGTTTCCTTGTCCATAGTCATCCTGAAACATGTGACTCTATTATCAACAAATCATAAACTGTTTAAACTTTTTGTCCAACTTTCTTTAAAATCTTTTGACACTAAAATCAAAATTTTGGTTGGTATATTGGGAAATGTGACACAATTCTATTCTTCTTGTTTTAGAGCTCTCCTAATCGCAACATGGAACTTCACTAAAAGGGCAGGAAAGGAGAAGACTTGTAGAAGTAAGAACTCATGTCGATATATGCAAATGACAGTATTCAAAATTATGATAATCAAATGCACCCAAAGTCAGATCTACAGTTTCACCCCTCATTAATTGATAAAGTGACAATCAGGAAAAGATTAGGTTAAATACTTTCTTGGAAAGTTGTAGACACTAAAGCATAGGGACAATAACAAACAAGGGCTTTTCTTTTCAATTGTTAACCCTCAAAACTAGGCCTGGGCATATGGGTAACCCGTTCGGGTTCGGGTAAAACCCGTTCGGGTTGAATGGGTAATGAATTTATGGTCCATTCGGGTATTCTTATGGTTTCGGTTCCGGTCCGGTTCGGGTATTGTCGGGTTCGGGTCGGTTTGGGTAATACCCGAAGTTTAAAATCACTTTACATACTCAAATGATCAAATAAAGAAAATAGAACATCAAACATGACATTTAAATACTAAATCCAATCCAAAATAACAAAGATGACTATTTCACTCTTAAGTGTTAAGAGTAGATTCTAATTATCTATATACATATATAAACATATGTGTATTGCATATATATAAGTATATATATAAGTATATAACTATATAAGACTATATATCTAATTATCTATATACATATATAAACTCAAATGTCAAAAGTCACAAAACCTAAAACCTAGGACATACATATAAGTATATAACTATATAAGACTATATATCTAATTATCTATATACATATATAAACATGTGTATTTCTTCGGATTTGTGGGTACCCTAAATGGGTAACGGGTAATCCCCGACCCGACCTGATACCCACGGGTAATCCAATACTCTACCCAATGAGGTAATTTTCTAATACCCTAACCCGCCCCAACCCGATTTTTTCGGTCCGGGTATCGGTTCGGGTATCGGGTCCGGGTTTTTTGCCCAGGCCTACTCAAAACAACGATAGTCATTAGGTTAGTTTCAAAAATCTACAGGGTAATTCACTCTGCTCGGGCATATCACTGATCAAATTAACTTCACCCTGCTTCTCTACAATATCCAACTTGTTCAAAGAATGAGAATGTATAACAAACCGCTTATAATGATCCTCACTATTGTTCCAAACGGTTAAACTCAAAAGGGAAGGCACATCAATGGTGAAAGTCTCCACATTGTCGTCCTTACAACAGTCTACCCACAAATCTTCAAGCACAGGGGAAGCGGAGATAAGCCTGATGAAAGATTCCTCGTCTGGGTACCTCACAGACATAAGCATCAACTTCTTGAGGGAATGAAAGCTAACACGAGAAGGAACTTCCAAAAAAGTCACATTGATGAGTTTCAAGGTCTCGAGTGTTTCACATCTAAACAGTATACTCGGCAATCTTATAAGGCAATGGTAATCGAGATAGCTAAAATCTATCTTCAGACAACGCACAAAACGATCAACTGCAAATCGAACCCAAAACTCGATCTGCAACAGCAACGTGGGAAAGATGAAATCCGAAGACAACGTGCGTAGAATTCTATTCGAATGGTGATCATCCACCCAGCGATCTTCAAAGTTAAGCCGTGGCAACAATGTCCAAAGAGACAGCCATCTTTTAGACAAAAGGCTCGTAGTAACGGCATCTTTGATTGGGACAAAGGACAAGATTTTGATGAGCAAATCATCAGTCAACTGAGTAAAGCTGTCGTCCATATGAATTTTCACAAAGAAGTTAAAAGCTTTGCTTTTTAACAAGTTTCACAAATCTGCAGGTGTAGATTTGAACAAGCAGAAGAAACAGAGATGGTAAGGAAGACAATGAGAAATAGCTATAGCATTCAGATTCCAAACTTGTAAACGAACGAAGAATCGAGAGAACCCCTAACCTTTCGAAGCCGAGAGAAATCTTCAGTAGAAGAAGAATCGCTCTCTCACTTCCTCTTTCGCTCTCTCACTCCTGCAGTGTTGTCTTTTCGGTATGAGGAAGAAAGACCTAGGTTGGTTTGATGGGCCTAAGCCCAAAATTGTTATGTTGCAATTTTTTCAATTGCTTTCCTTCTTAAAAAGTCAAAAACGAAATTTTTTAAAAAATTAACTTAACCAAAATGTTTGTAATTCAAGATTTTACCAACATAACTAGGATCGGACCCGCGGTCCACCGCGGGAGAATAGTGGTTTACATACATTGATTTTAATATTGTGCGTGTTTTAAGTAGAGCGAATCGTGTAGTGTACATATAAATATTCATAATAACGAATTATAGAGAAAATGTTAAATTGTTTATAATTAAACCGATCATATTAATTATGATTACAAAATGGAATTTTATGTTTTAGAATTCTAAAATTAGTCGATTCAGAGGAACTAGAGCAGTCAAAATAGGTCAAAAACCGTGGGTCGAGCCCAAATCATCTCACTATGGGACAGATTTGGGAAAATATATTAAACCCGTAAATAAACGGGCCACATGGATTGATTCGCAGTGGATCATAGGTTTTAATCGGTTTTCGTCCCCGGGTTGGCGGATCAGCCCGCATGTTAGTATTTATTGATAAAAATATAATTTATTCAATATTTGGTAATTTAAAAAACTTTTAATAAATGAAATTATAATATTTATAAATATAATGATATATAAAATTATTTTCTCTAAATTTTCTTTTATTTATTTATTTTAGTAGTATTTTAAATTTACGTTACTTTAAAATTAATTAAACAAAATCCACGGACAACCCCGCAAATCAGCATACATTTGCGGGACGGGTTTGTGTTTCATATATGCTACCCGCGGGTCGTGTGGACCGACTAACTATATGTCAAAATATATTTTGCCTATCACAAAACGGGCTTAACGGGACGAATCAACTCGCTTTGACAGCTCTAATGGGAATATTATTTAGTCATACAACAAAATAGAGTTTGGACATAGGAATAATAGAACCTGTATCTTATTTGTTAGATGAGAGATTGAAACTTTGAAAGGTGAAATATAATGATTAAAAATTAATTATTATTTTTGATGATTCACAAAATTTAATAAATATTTATCATCTTGTTGAATAATTCTAAAAATCATCTTAGCGAAATAGGTTTTGGAAAATATTGGTTTATATTGTTGGCAATATAAAATCCACATTATTAGTATCCATATTTAAAGATCTTACGGTAGATTTGCTTGTTAATGGTATAATTTAAAGGAATACTTTATTAGTATATGCATTTAATGGTTAATCAAGTAATTAAGAAGATACCATATAAGTCGAGATTGTTTTGATTGTTTAAATATTTAATTTTCTAATCGGTATCCGATTGTATTTATTGCGAAACAATAGTATCCGTTATTAGTCGAGGTTTAATTTTGGGTCAGTTTAAAAAAGTTAATTATACTCAAAGATCCATTTGCTTTAATTTCGGGTCAATTTGTGTTAATTTTTCAATTTAACCCGACCCAATTCAAAATGAATTCAATTTGTACTTCTCTTTTAATAGTATAGAGATTGAAGCTGTTGTATGAATCATGTAATCATCATCGGCTAAGGGGTACTATTTTATTAAACCGGAACTAAACCGGAATCTATAGCTCAAGTTGTTCATCGAAATCTCCAACAATATCTTGAACAATAAAAGTCATCTTCTCCCATATTAAATATATCATGAGAGATGGTTAATTTCTCTTTGTCTCATGTTCTAAAAGGCGGTCGCTTAGACCCCGCCTAGGCGCTAGACGCCCTTGTGACGCCTAGACGACTGTTTCGGATGTCTAAAATCGCATAAGTTTTGTTTCAGTGTATTTTTCTAATTTCCAACTACATAAATATTTAAATTATAAGTTTTAACTTCATATATATTGTTTGATATGAATTAAATAAATATTATTTTTTAACTTTTGTTTACAATTTAATATTTTTATTTTATAATAGATAGTTTTATATGATTTTTAGCTATAATATCATATTTCTAATGTGTTATGTTGTAAACGCCTAAACCGTCTAAAATTGCCTAGTCCCCGATTAAACGTTTTAGGCGCTAGGCATTGGTCACCGCCCGCTTAGCGCCAAACGCTTTCTTGAACACTCAACTGATGCATATTCTCTGTCTATTATTGAGTCTTTACACCAATGGCTTAATTATAGTAAGGAATCTAAGGATAGTAGGATACACATATTTTGATATTATTTTTTTTTATTTTTTTGGTGAGTTATTTTGATACTATTTATTCGTACATTGTTTAATTTAATTTATAATTTATAATTTTATTTTCAATTAAAAATATATGTTTAAAATGGATCTAATAAGGCCCTTATAAATTAAAGAAAGGCTCACTGACCCAATAAAACAAAAGGCCCATACTATATAAAAACCAGAAGTAGAGAGAGACGAAACAGTAAAGCCAAACAGATAATGTCGTAATTCAGGATTAGGTTTACTCTCTCTCCCAAACTCCGCCCAATCTCTCTCCCTCTCTCCGCCGCGTGCAACTGTAACCGCTAACGGTACTCTGTTTCTTACTCTCATCGTCTTCGTCTTCGTTTTGCTTAGAGGAGAGAGCTAAGAATAAGATGAGTGGTCAAATCACTTGCAATGATCGAACAAGAACGTATTGGACTCCAACAATGGAACGATTCTTTATAGATCTTATGTTAGAGCATTTACACAGAGGAAACAGAACCGGTCACACTTTCAACAAGCAAGCTTGGAACGAGATGCTTAGTGTTTTCAATTCTAAATTCGGGTCACAGTACGATAAAGACGTGTTGAAAAGCCGGTATACGAATCTTTGGAAACAGTATAATGATGTCAAGTGTCTTCTTGATCATGGTGGTTTTGTTTGGGATCAGACTCATCAAACTGTGATTGGTGATGAGAGCTTATGGAGTTTGTATCTTAAGGTTTAAAAAATCAGATTTTTCTATGTTTTAGTTTGGATTTGGTTTATATGATTTTGACTGGTGGTTTGTGGTTTTTATAGGCTCATCCGGAGGCGCGTGTTTATAAGACGAAACCGGTGTTGAATTTTAGTGATTTGTGTTTGATTTATGGGTATACGGTTGCTGATGGGAGATATAGTATGTCAAGTCATGATTTAGAGGTTGAAGATGAGATCAATGGTGTGTTTTTTTGTTCTTTTGTTTATGCATACTTAGTTGTTGGATTGGTTAGTTACAATGTGGGTTTTTTTTGTAGGTGAAAGTAGTGGAAGTGTTGTTATATCGGGTAAAGAAAGCTCGAAAACTGAGTGGACTACGGAAATGGATCAATACTTTATTGAGATTATGGTTGATCAAATTGGAAGAGGTAACAAGACTGGTAATGCTTTTAGTAAACAAGCATGGACAGATATGCTTGTTTTGTTTAATGCTAGATTTAGTGGTCAATATGGGAAAAGGGTTTTAAGGCACCGGTACAATAAGTTGTTGAAGTACTATAAGGATATGGAAGCTATTTTAAAAGAAGACGGGTTTTCGTGGGATGAAACTCAGCTAATGATAGCTGCGGATGATGCCTTTTGGGATTCTTACATCAAGGTTTGAATTCTTAGGCTATTAGTTCCTAACTTGAATAATCTTTTGATCTTCATTCCATTAGTTTGAATCTAGATGTGATGAGACAGGACCACCCACTTGCGAGAACGTATAGGATGAAATCTTTACCGAGTTACAACGATTTGGACACAATATTTGCCTGTCCAGCTGAGCAAGGGACTATGCCTCATCCAGTCCAAGGCAAAGATCACAGAGATGATGGTTCGGCTGCCCAAACAAGTGACTTAAATCGTTTTCGATTAATCCGATTCTGATAGATGCCTAAATTTTACTTCTGCAGGTGAGACTAAGGCCAACCAAGTGCATAATTCTGACCGGACAAGGACATTTTGGACTCCGCCAATGGACTACTATCTAATTGAGTTATTAGTGGACCAAGTGAACAATGGGAATAGAGTAGGGCAGACTTTCATAACGAGTGCTTGGAATGAAATGGTTACAGCTTTCAATACCAAATTCGGGTCTCAACACAACAAAGACGTTCTAAAGAATCGGTACAAACACTTGAGGAGGCTGTACAACGACATAAAGTTTCTTCTCGAGCAAAATGGCTTCTCATGGGATACAAGAAGAGATATGGTGCTTGCAGATGATGATACTTGGAATACCTATATACAGGCATGCCACATTCTTTTCTTTTAAAGATCTCAGTTATATGGTTATGCTTGCTTACAAATGAAGCATGTGCAGGCACATCCAGAAGCTAGATCATATCGAGTTAAAACTATTCCAAGCTATCCAAATCTTTGCTTCATTTTTGGGAAGGAAACGTCGGATGGGAGATACACACGTTTGGCTCAAGCTTTTGATCCCATACCGGCAGAAACTGTGCAGATGATCGGTAAGCTTCTCTTTAGCATTGTCTTTGAGATTCGATAAAAGGTAAAGCTAATCTGATTATATTGGCTCTATCTAAGTTTTATAGTTGTAACGTTGTGCTCTCCATCTCCTTTTGATTCATTAAGCTGTGAATGTGAGACTTGCGATATAGACGCGATTGACAAATGATCCTTTTGTATGTAATGAATCCTTCTCAGAAAGTGGAAGCACAGATGTATTTAAAGATACTCTGGGAGAAACTCACGGTATCCAGATGGTGGTTTATACCAGCAATGAGAAAAATGATTACACCTGTAGTAATATCGGTCCTCCCTGTATAGAATGGACACGGGTCATGGACCGCTGTCTTATTGATCTTATGCTAGAGCAGGTGAATAGAGGAAATAAGATTGGTGAGACATTCACAGAGCAAGCTTGGGCTGACATGGCAGAATCCTTCAATGCAAAGTTCGGGTTGGAGACTGACATGTTCATGTTGGAGAATCGTTACATATTGATGATGAAAGAGCGTGACGACATCAACAATATCCTCAACCTTGATGGCTTTACTTGGGATGAAGAGAAGCAAACCATTGTTGCAGAAG